TAATCTATTATAGATTATCTAATTTATAATACAAATTTATTTTATTGATGTCTTTATTAATGCCAGAATGTTCCCAAGCACCAATAGCCCCCTCCATGAATCTCTGAATGTAAATATCATATGTTTATCATTTTGTTAATTTATGTTACTCAGTATGAACTTTTATGCTTCGATATTAGAATTTCCTTAATTTTATAACTTAAATCACAAGAACACATCATTATAAAATCAATACATTAATCATTTCGCTTAGAATTTAAATGTCTCAATGAATATATTTTAAGAACACTTATTGCATATTATATATTTTCTGTTATTAATTTAAATTACACTTGGTTATTTCAAACTATTTGATATTTTAGAGTAAAGCATAGAGTTACGTTTATCAAATATTATTTTACAGGAAATAGATGTTTCGTATAATTTTTTATGGGAATAATTCTAATACTCCCAATATTTAACCACCAGTTATAACATCCTACTTTTCTATAACTGAAATACTGTACATAACGACCAGTAATCTAAAAATTAGTTTATAAACTAAACATTAACATTTAAAATCAATGTCATAAATTGTAATCGGTAAAAAAGAATTATATTGAGCGATAACAAACATTGTTGTGACAGACAGAAGAACAATGAAAATTGAAGATCACCTTCAGTAATATAAATAATCAAGCTAAAAAAATAATTTAAAAATATATTTTGACAGTCAATCAACTTGATTATCTTGTAATATACTCAACTACTATAGTTGAAATGTTGGAAGTATTTTGAATAAAACCACGAAGATGATTGTATTATTTGTATTTTATTTATACTCAATATAATAATTATGTAAAAATAATCTAAGTCCTAATGATTAATTTAATTAAAACTGTTGTAAGCGAGTTGTGACTAAGTATTTAGCTTGAGTGACTGTTCTGATTGAGGCTGGTGGCTCGTCTAATAAACGCTTATCCATCAGCTTTCCTCGATGGGTCAGTCCCTGTCCCTTCTATACTTCGCACAACCATACATGAGGAGTGTAGAACCATATCAGCCCAACTCACACAAGTGTAACTGTGCAGGACGGTCATTTAAAGTTTTGAAATTATATTGTGTTAGGTTAGCCGCCCAAACAATTATGTGCTGCTTTCTTGTGGAAGAATTTTTTTGAAAGGTTGGGCCAGTTTGGTAAGGAATAAAATATAATTCTGTATCATATTTTCGAATAAAAACGGAATTTGATTTTTTGTGGGTTGGGCTGATATCGTCTTGCAGTTAGGTCTAGCGTGGGATAGTCACACGATTTTGCACACGCCGAATGTCTAACATAATATTTTTATTGTTATTGTGGAGTCTGCGGTCTTATTTAATATATCAGCACAATTTCTACTGGGGCATAATAAAAGTTATTTATGTACGTAGTTATATATCTATTGACGCACGCCGCTCATGGTCACGCCCTCGATATTATTATCTACGCCCTGTATACACGATATTGTCGTGCTACTACTACTACTAGAGCACTATAGATGTATACTTATAGTAGAGCACTATAGATGTAGGTATTCTCATCATCCGCCATTTTGGTTCCAGTTCGACCGCGGACCGTCAGACCATCGGTCCACGCCCGACAACTCGACCACCGGGCGCGCCTGGAACCAAAATGGCGGATGAGAATACTCATACTTATAGTGCATTACTACTACTAGTACTACTACACACGTACTGTATACGGTGCATCGATATTATTATTATTATTATTATATTATCATTATAAATGTTACGCGAAAGCTCGCTCGCGTATTACAATTATATTTATATTTACGCAGTGCGCATATTATTTGATTACGTACATATAATTATGTTATTTAGATAGGTATTTGGGGCGCTACAATCGTGGCTCATTTTTCGCTGGCCTTACTATGATACATTTTAGAAACTCAAAAGACATCTGACTATAACTCTTTTATATTATTATTACCTTAGTAATTGTGTAAAACTGGTAGCACGTCTATTTCAATGACTTTGAATATGAGTATAATTTCAACTTGACCGTCTTAGTGCCCCCAAATGATTTTGAACAGGATGTTCAATGTTTCTCTCTGATAAAAAACTGAATATATACAATCACTTTTATCATAATAAACTAACTTATTATTTAGTACAATTCTCATTAACTTACCTTAAAAGATTTTGTTCTGAAAATGCATTACTTCCAGAATCAACATAATTACTTTGAGTAGTATAACACTATATAAAAATAAAAATTATATTGAAAATAAAATATTAACTAGAGTTCAAGAATCATTACTTGTAAGTATCCCTGGGCTTCGGAATGCATACGACGCCTGTATATCCGGTCTCCAATAGTCCGATACTTGTGTTTACTACAAAAAAAGTTATTCTGTCAATATTCACGATCACCATACATGATGCTCGATGTATTAACAACTACGAAATGAAAGACACCCTCGCTGGAGCGTCTGGGCGTTGTTTACGCTTGGTCGGTTGTACAGTCTGGTCATATTTTGAAAACCAAATTCCCCGACTGAGTATTAGGGTGGGGTTTGCATGTTTGCATATATTTGTGTGTGTGTGCGTGTAGGTACAGCGACGGATTATCGATTAGATGATGAAGTAAGCTCCCTCCTAAAGGCCCCAGTCGTTATGGTGAAATCATCCTCATCCATCTGTTCGAGGGTCTTGTCGGCGAGGGGTGCGATGTGCCAAGGGGGTAGTGGGTAGGAGGGTTGTCGGGTCTGTTGCCTAGTGACGCCGAACCCACCATACTGAATCGATCGTGAGAAACCACCCGTAAATAAACATAATGGTACAGTGGTTCCTAATTTTTTTCCCGGAGGTGCCCTTTTTTATCGGTAGTCATTTTCGCGTCGCTATTGTTAATGTTAACGTTTTTTTTGTAGGAAATGTACGTATAGTTCAATGTTTGAATTATGCATCGTTTACTCAACGACCATTTAGCTTACGTCAAAATGTCGTAGGTACATCATTTTCGAATTAATAAAAATTTAAATTGTAAAAAGAAAAATAATAATTTGAAAACAAATGGGTAATTACTAAGTAGCCGGCAAAGTTCAGATTATAGTTTAAAAAAAATGATGTGAATTGCGTGCTAAATATTTTCAGAAAAAAATTGAGGAATTTCTGGCGAAACGCCCCCCCATGGATTTTGATTTTGAGGAGGAAGGAGGGTCGTGTGAATTTCAAAACTAGGCATGCGAATACGTGCGAATTACGTGCTAAATATCCGTGAAATTCATTTATGGATTTTCCATGGGGGGGGGGGCTGGCCAAACGTACGTCATGAATAAGTTTGGTACATGACAGACAGAACCATTGATGCAGACGTGACACTGGAACACAGGATAAAGAGGAACGCAGCTACCACAACGTGTGTTTACGATGGCAAACGCATATAATTTACAAACGTTTAACGATGACATTTATTACGTACGTTACGGTGCGGGGCTCTTGACGACCGCAGCCGATTTTCAAGCGGGTCACTGCAGGTGCCTACAGTAGCTAAGTATAGCGCCCAGACAACAATAGAGCATTCAGCTACCGTTTATCCTAAACGGCTTCTGTTTTACAACAAAAGATTCCCGATTCCCGAGGCGCCAACAATGAAGATCGTCAATTCAAGCGCCACCGACTACCAGGGTCTCATGAAGACATAACCATGGCCAGCATACGTAGTATGGTGAGACATAATATTATTATTGTACTGTATTGGATTCGTAAAAATACGTTATATCAAAATATATTTTATAATTAGGTTTCGAGACATCTTCCGTTTGGACCGTTTGTATGTTTTTTTTTTGAGACGGTTGTAAGTTATTCTAGGTAGGTTATAAATTAAATACATACTCTTTCATGAGTCCTATTCCCTCATTTATTGATTTGTATCTTGGGTCGTCCATTATGTTTGCATTTACTTCATACAGTTTATAACCAAATGTAATGTTATGGTTGTTTTAAACCCAATAATTGGTTAGGTTATGAATTCGACTGGTGAATTTGAAAGTCTCTACACTTTCATTTAAAGCGGGCACATCGTATTCATCAATTTTTTTAATTACCTATGTTATCGTATGTGTAGGTATGTCCTGTCCGTTTCCGGAGTTTCAAAAGTTTTACTTACTGTCCTGCCTTTATCACCAATACAATGTAAAAGAATGGCTATTTTGTCTGCCTCTTTTAGTTTTATCGCGCCTGATCCTATCATGTAGAGTTTGAACACACTTTTCCATCTTGTCCAATCCTTTTCCGAAGAGCTGCTGTAACTGATTTATGGTGGTGTTGAATTTGAATTAGTATATTAACCTTTCAACTGAGCAGTTATATTTTTTTAGTTTAATTAGTGATTATATTATCATATAATATTTTATTTAATTTTTAATTTTTATTGAAATAAATCTACAATCTTCACATTCATTTTGGTATAATAAGTAGGTTTGATAAGTGAATAATAAAAGGTTAACATGAATAGTGCGATTAGGGAGGATACCCAGTGGTAACACAATATAATATTATACCTAACAGGTATAATAAACTTATATATAAAAATGAATCGCAAAATGTGTTGGTAAGCGCATAACTCAACAACGCCTGGACCGATTTGGCTGAAATTTTTTTGTAACTGTTCTGAATTGTCAGGAGAAGGTTTTTATGAACGAACATTTGTAAAAAGTCTACCGAATAAGTAGAAAAAGTGCAAAAAATATTTATTGATGTCTGTGATTTGAACCATTAAAAATAAACCATTAAATGTTAGTAGTAATGAAGCAGTTTGGCGAATATTTTCTTTTCCCATTCATGGGAGACACCCTTCAGTTGTTAATTTAGCTGTGCATTTAGAAAATGGACAAAGAGTGTATTTTACACCACAGAACGCAGTACAAAGAGCAGCTCAGCCACCTTCTACTACATTAACCAGTTTCTTTGAGACATGCCAAAACGATGATTTTGCACAAACATTGTTATATTCTGAAATGCCAAAATATTATACTTGGAATAAATCCTCAAGGAAATTTATACGACGGAAACAAGGAAAACCAATTCAAGAATACCCAGATGTATATTCCACCGATGTGATTGGTCGAATTTATTCAGTACATCCCAGCAATGATGAATGTTTTTATTTACGACTGCTATTAGTCAATGTACTTGGCCCAACATCATTCCAACATTTACGAACTGTTGATGGTGAATTGTGTGGATCCTACAGAGAAGCCTGTCAACGTTTGCAATTGTTAGAAAATGACGATCATTGGGATCAAACTCTAAATGATGCTGCAATATCATCAAGTGCTCAACAAATACGAACATTGTTTTCTATAATCATATGTACATGCTACCCATCAAAGCCAATCGATTTGTGGATCAAGTACAAGGATCATATATGTGATGATATTTTGTATCAAATACGGAATAGAATGGGAAATCTAAATATACAAATCAATGAAGAAATTTTTAACGAAGCATTGATTTCAATTGAGGACATGTGCTTGATGATGTCAAACAAACTATTAATTCAATTAGGCCTGATAACGCCCAATCGTCCAATGCATGATGTTTTTAACAAAGAGGTGCACCGAGAAAAAACGTATGATCTCAACACTTTGAAAGAATTAATTCAAAAAAATCTTCCACTGTTGAATGAACAACAGAAGTATGTATTTGATACTCTTATGAAAGTAACAAATGATGATACTGGAGGGATATATTTCTTGGATGCACCTGGTGATACAGGAAAAACTTTTTTGATTTCATTAATATTAGGAACAATTCGTTCACAAAATAAAATTTCACTTGCACTCGCTTCATCGGGAATCACAGCAACTTTGCTTGAAGGTGGTCAAACAGCCCATTCAGCACTAAAATTGCCATTAAATATGCAAAGCAATGAATTTCAAAGCTGCAACATTTCGAAGAAATCTGCAATGGCAAAAGTTTTGCAGCAATGTCAATTGATTATTTGGGATGAATGCACGATGGCACATAAAAAATCGTTGGAGGCTTTAGACAGAACCTTAAAAGATATACGGGGCAATCATAACCTATTTGGCGGTGCAATGATTTTATTAGCAGGAGATTTTTGGCAAACATTGCCAGTGATTCCACGATCAACGCCAGCTGATGAACTTAATGCATGTCTAAAATCATCCAATTTGTGGAAACATGTCAAAATACTTCATTTAAGCAAGAATATGCGTGTCGAGTTGCAAAACGATCAATCTGGAAACATATTCTCTAAACAACTCATAGACATTGGTAATGGCAAATTTCATGTAGACATGTTGACCGGCTGCATTAACTTTCCTCGAAGTTTTTGTCAGTTAACTCGATCAAAAGATGAACTTATTCAAAAGGTGTATCCAGATATTGCTCGCAATTACAAAAACCATAATTAGTTGAGCGAACGAGCTATATTGGCTGCAAAAAACATAGATGTAAATGAATTAAATTTAAAAATTCAAGAACAAATTACAGGTGAATCGAGGATATATAAATCAGTTGATTCTGAATTTTTTTATCGCTAACCGTGTGCCGTTGCACAGACGCGGTTGGTTGATATTTCGCAACATTATAACAACCAATCCAACCTTTAATTTAAGATTGTGAGGTGGCAATCCTGGTAAATCCAGCGAGTTTAAAAATTCCGGTGGATAGTTGACTACATCATCTTGGTTAAATTTTTAAAATAAAAATAAAAATGAATGTGTATATAGTGTTATAATATTAGATACTAATTAAGTTGGTTATTAGGAATAATCTAACATGATATATCATTAAAAATTGTATCATTAAATTTCAAAAAATAACAATTTATACGTGGAGAACACTTTATGTGTCGAATAGTCGAATAATTAATTCGTATATCATATTTTTCAAAAAAAATATTTTGATGAGTTGTAACTTTTTAAAGTGTGTTAAACAACCAGTAGGACAATTTATATTTGTGAATATGATAAATGATAATAAGTATTTATAAAAGTAAAAAGTATTTTTATTCAACACTGTTAATATTTGGTTAATCTATTTTAAAACTACTTATGGTTAAACATTCCAACAGGTAATTACATTTACTTATATAAAAATATGTAAGTACTTAATAGAAAAGTTCAAAATGGTTTATTTTTACATTGCCAAAAAAAATTATTCAAAAAAATTGGATTTATTAACTTTAAAACTTTAATATTATAAAAAATTGTTGTACATATAATAATTATGTAAATTACTAGTTGTATACTTTACTCTCTCTATTTATATATATATAGATATATATATTGTATAATGTACCTATAATATATTATTATAATTTTATGATTTGATGTTATGTTTAAATTAACATTTTATGTGACGAGAATAAAAATAAAATAAAATTTGAGTACCTATTTTAATTGATAGGGGGTAACTGCAGCCTGCATGGTAAGTAGGTACCTAATTAAATTGATGTAACGCGTGCAATATTGATAGATTTTTAGTAATTTCAAAGTTATGATATTATACAAATCATTCTCTTGTAGTATTGGTCGATAAATATTGTCTTTGAAACGGTTACGGTCGAAATGGTCGCCAATACATTTTTTGTTTTCGTCTACATTGATTTCACATAGGCACACACATTCACATACAGTATCTCTGTATAATATGCTGTGAATCCATTGTTACGCATGTTATACTGCTACCACCGTCACTCAAAAACCTCAAAAGAAGTGTATAAATATAATATATATATATATATATATTTAACCACATAGCTGGCGGTCACGTATTGGGGCCAAAATATAGACCAAGGGCGGGGGTGGGGGATATCTGTGGTGTAGATAGGTGAAAAATAATTGACCATGATGTGTTGTGTTGGGAGACAAAAATATCATAATATTATCCGTGGCCGTCGCAGGTCATTGGTTTTCTTCTGCTAGCTAAAGAGTGTGAGAAAGAAAAGAGAAATAATAAACTCGAGGCCATTGTAACTGTTGGACTAAAAAAAAAATAAAAATAAAAATAAAAATTATAATAATAAAATATAATATTCCATGCTCTTAATAATAAACATAGCTATAATAGGCAATAGGTTGACGACGGAACGCCCACAATAGAACTCGTCATGGGAAGCGAATTACACGAGATGACACCATGCAGGATACGTCGAATGTTTGCCACAACAATGTAATACGATGATTGACGTTAAAATTGATACTGAACTGAAAAATATGCGATACGTATTTGTTTGGAATTATTAGGTAGGTAGGTATTTGTGATCGAAATAAAAGGGCAACATTTTTAAGTAGGTATAGTACATTTTTTTCTTTATGTATTCTTCATGCATAGAACAAATTGAACATTGAACAACCTCGTGAAATAAGTCAAATCACTGTAGTATGGTTAGTTTAAAATCTTGTTTTCCGCCATAATTTGTTTAGAATAGGGCCTATATTTCAGTACTATTTATTCAGTAAAATAAGGTGTTATATACTTATATGACGTACATATTTCTTATTATGTTTAATCATAGAGTTAAGCTGCGAAGTCAAATTGATAATATCAGGTATATTACTCTAACAAATTATGAAAAATTATTATAAATTATATTTATTACCTATTTAATTTGATTTTTAAGAATATTAAATTTTAAGTAAGTACACTATAATTATTAAAAGATTCTTTTTGAATTTATATAAATTCATTATTAATGGATAAATAGGGCGAATGGATAAACAATCATAACGAATGGACCATAACTCATACATGTACAATTTAATTTAACTCAGATGTTTATGTGGATCCGTTACTGGCATTTTATTAATATTTTACAAGAATTATGGCTAAAATATAATTGCCAAGTAAAAAAATCCAGCTCTGACCCCCTCAAATCAACCCCTACGCATGGCCTACAAAAGTAGCTAAATATTATGGGGGGCAATTTTTGTTTCAAATAACTGAAAACCTAGTAATGTTATTATGTTAACATTAATGCAAACGCTAACTATTAATTATTAGTTTATCACCTTATAACAACTTTAAATAACATAATTCTCGCTTTAAACTTAATATATTATTTGGGATTACCCACTTAGTGTAATAATAATGATAAGACCTACAGTGATTCTGTGTTTAACAATATTACTGAGAATTTGAGAATGTTTTTAATGAATCATTGATACAAGAGGTATAAAAAAGACCACTAACATCAAAATGATTTACTCACAAACATATTTAAAATCCATGTAGGTTATTATAATCGTTCATATTTCTTACTGTCTAATAATTACCTACTATCAGGAATACTAATTAGTAACCTAGTACCACACTGTTGATAAATGTTAAAACAATATTAATTTATTGCCAAGTTATTAATTTTTATCTAATTTTGTAATTATACTGTAGAGTTGGTGACACACTGACATCACAGCAGTATTGTGCAATTCATTATTACCTATATTATAATATATTGGTGTCTGCCGTCTGGAAATTATAAAGTTCAAATGTCATCCTTGAACAAAATGTCAAAGTCCAGAATAAAGGTCAGTACGGTCTTAATGAAGTGCGATTTCCTGTAAGTATTCAGTTTGGAAACTAAAATTGTTATAAACATAAAACCTATTTAATATTATAATATTGTTATTAGGTATAACTTATATATTTAAATATTTCAAATTTCAATATATTTATCTACTATGATGTAAAATAAGTACCTATGTGTACATATTATGTATAATATTCTCTACAGTTACTATGTTGTATTTTGCGTACTATAAACCGATATAAATAAACTCTAATTTTCCTCGTTAGTGAGTTTTATATAATAAAGACATTTTCTATAAAATGTCCACAAAAATAAGTCATTACCAATTCATCAAAGTCTGAGTCTCGATAAATTATTGTTATAACTTTAAATGTTTATTATAATATCTTGCATTACTGATAACTTATAATATTAAATTAAACAGTTATAAATTATATGATATGACAGCGTTCATTGTACTTAAAAATAATATATTAATCTACTTTCTTCTATAAGCAACAAATATAAAATACATTTTTTTTGTAAATGCATTTAAGTTTAAAATAATTATGTTTTAGATTCAAGTTCATCATGGACTTTATTTTTTTTTTAAATTAAATTAATATTTTGCAATCTAATAGTTTTTAATTGCTATATCTCTCATAATATAATAGTTAATCGTTATTAATTATTATAAATTATAATAGAGAAATAAACATATTCATTATTATTATAATAAGTATATTATAATATTTAAAGGGATATGTATGCAATATGCATATTGTAGTTTTGTAGTTTACTATTAATATCGGTACATTTGATTAAAACTATATAATATTATGTTTTTTTAATATAATGCAAATCCTTGAACTCAATGCATTTGTTTTTAGAAATTAACATCAGAATAGGTAACCTACCTAATTATAATAAATTGTATATTTCATAAGTATTGTGTACTTATTGCTAAAATGTTCTCAAATGTTAGTTTAGAATATTACGATGTGGCTTGGTATGGCCGTGGTTGCATTCAAGCACAAAATACTCAGTGCAAGCATCGGCCG